AAGATTCTGGAAAAGATAATCAAACAACAAATCAGTGAACACCTAGAGGCAAACAAAGTCATTACTAAAAGCCAACATGGGTTTGTCAAAAACAGATCATGCCAGACAAATCTTATTGCATTCTTTGATCAAGTGACAAAATTAGTGGACCAGAGGAATGCTGTGGATATAATTTACTTGAACTTCAGTAAGGCATTTGATAAAGTACATCACAATCTACTACTGGATAAGATAGAAAAATGTGGGTTAGACAGCATCACCACCAGATGGATTCGTAGTTGGCTGACCGGTCGTACTCAGCGTGTGGTCCTCAATGGAACCGCATCTACATGGATGGAAGTGTGTAGTGGGGTGCCCCAGGGCTCTGTTCTAGGCCCAGTGCTCTTCAACATCTTCAGCAACGATTTGGACGAGGGGATAGAACTCATCACATTTGTAGACAACATCAAGCTGGCAGGAATAGCCAACACTCCAAAAGACAGGCTTAAGATACAGGAGGATCTGAACAAACTGGAACACTGGGCGCTACCTAACAAAATGAAATTCAACGGTGAAAAAAGTAAAGTTCTACATTTAGGCAAGACAAATCAAATGTACAGGTATAGTATAGGTGGTACCTTGCTCATAGTAGCAACTGTGAGAGGGATCTCGGAGTTCTAGTGGACAATCACTTAGATATGAGCCAGCAGTGTGCTGCAGCTGCCAAAAAAGCCAACACGGTGTTAGGCTGCATTAACAGAGGGATAGAATCAAGATCACGTGAAGTATTAATACCACTTTACAATGCCTTAGTAAGGCCACACTTGGAATATTGCATCCAGTTTTGGTCACCACAATGTAAAAAAGATGTTGAGACTCTAGAAAGAGTACAGAGAAAAGCAACAAAGATGATTAGAGGTCTGGAGGCAAAAACATATAAGGAACGGTTGCTGGAATTGGGAATGTCTAGTAGTTTAATGAAGAGAAGGATGAGGGGGGACATAATAGCAGTGTTCCAATATCAGGGGCTGCCACAAAAAAGAGGGAGTCAATTCTCCAAAGCGCCTGAAGGCAGGACAAGAAGCAACGGATGGAAACTAATCAAGGAGAGAAGCAACCTAGAACTAAGGAGAAACTTCCTGACAGAACAATTCACCAGAAGCGGTGAATGCTCCAACACTGGAAGTTTTTAAGAAGAGACTGGACAGCCATTTGTCTGAAATGGTATAGGGTTTCCTGCCTGAGCAGGGGGCTGGACTAGATGACCTCCAAGATCCCTTCCAATTTTATTATTATTATTATTATTATTATTGTTGTTGTTGTTGTTGTTGTTGTTGTTATTATTATTACTATTAATTCCATAGATGAATCAATAAAAGTAAAAGCAATATGTCTAGGATAGGGGCTTTTCCCCTTATCCCATTCATATCTTTTCTGTTTTCTAAACATTTAATGGGGGGAAAATGAGATTTTACTTGTTTTCCCTTATAAATCAAAGAACCATAATATACTGATTCTTTTTTTTAGAAGTTGTATGTTGTTATTTTTGTGACTAATTGTTGTGATTAACTAAATTG